AGCATGGGTTCGTTCCGCGGAGACGCCGTTGAACGTAGGGGGCTCGCACATGCTGACGCAAGACTCAAACGCAACAGCTACTTTCAATTTCACTGGTGCGTACTGCTCTCATCTCCACCTACTTCGCCAATTAATGTACGTTGCAGGCATTGCTATTTACTTCCTCTCGCCACTCTGGCCTTACAACGTCAGCACTGCAGTATCTCTCGATTCAGCACCCGCGACACTCCTCGACCTAGTCGACCACAGTCGGCCCAACATAGGTACTGGGCCAGAGACTGTGCAATCCCACGTTGTCTGGAATGCTACGGGCCTGACAAACATACAGCATACACTGCGAATATCTGTTGGAGCTGGGCAGTCTTTTGCAATAGTTGACGGACTCATGTGAGTTGCTTCTCCTCTTCGGGCTTCTCTCGAATTGACTCGCGGTCAAGCTACACCGACACAAGCTCACCGACGACTACCACCGACCGCGTCATTGCCTCATCTACGGCAGGCCAAACTACGGAAACGTCATCATCTTCTAAACCCGCCCTCCCAATCGCTCTTGGCACTGTTCTAGGTCTCCTCGGCCTGCTACTCATATTCCTCGCGTTCTGGTTCTTCTTTAGGAAGAGAAGACGGCCCATGTCAGAGGCATGGACGGTTTCCGGTTCATCCGTCGCCGGTCGAGCACCACCACCACCACCGGGAACTGCAGCTGCCTACTGGAACGCGACAACTGGGAACCAGGGTTACGCCATGAGACAGGCGGGCGACGGGACATGGCAGAACACGCGTTACGGGCACGTCGGGATGGCACCACCACCTATGCCGCCCCAGCCTATGTACGGGTACAACGCCTACCCGTACGGTGCCCCGCAGATGAGCGGTGCACCTAGTGCGTACCATCCGCCGCAAGGCCATGCACCGAATCGATACCTGCCCGGCGATACGCTCTCTACGATAACCGAGCGCTCGACACCGCAGATGAGTGAAGGACGCACACCTCTCGTGAATTCGCCTGCTTCGCTCCAGAGCGAGCTGGGCTATTACACTGCCCCAGCGTCGGAAGCAGCAGGCTCAACGATGAGCAACGATGCACGAGGAGGCTATGGTGTCCAGATCGAGTCCAAACACAAAATTCCGGATTACAGTAGGCCATTAAACCAAGCAGGTACACTTGGACGTTCGGCACAGTCGTCCGGCTGGATATGACGGGCTATTTTGGATAGAGCATGCAGGCTTGCATGCGTAGATGGCAGGAAGGATGCAACGTGTACGATATATGTTTTTCTTATGCTTATACGAACACTTTATTGTTTTATGGTTTATAAAATCTCGCTACAGCGTCACCAGAGATCATTGTATCGACAACCCGGCAGTCATTAAACAGGAACACAAACTTTGATGAGCTACAAGACGCGTTCGAAATCTAATCTGCCTTGGCTTTCGAGGAGACCATGTCATAAACATCGCGCAGCCAATTTGTAAGGTCAGTACCCCATCCTCCAATCCTCCTCATTCTACGGTGCTCAACATCCGTTCCTTCCTCCAGTCCGATCTCCGCCATTCGTGCTCGATTACGCTCGCGTACGATCCAGTGATTGCTAATGCACCACCAGATGATGCTTTCCTTGGAAAAGAAAACTTCGCTGACGCGCTCGGGGCACTCTGAACTGCACGGCTCTTCCAATCTGAACAGGCGGAGAAAGGTGCGGAGGACTATGCGCGGGAAGTAGAGTAGGAGAGGTGGATCCAACCCTGATAAATGTGGAAAGTGAGTGAAAATTTTGTGGCTATCGTCCGAAGTCGTGTAAACTTACAAATGACATCGGTAGAGGTTCCATAGGCGATCAACCCTCCTCGGTTCGCGTACTCGCCGTCTGCGACCCAACCACGTTCGTTCTGCTCCATGGCAGCAACGAGCTCCGCCGAAAATTCTTCACGAGGCGTCTGCACCCACCCGGGCTTCCACATGATCCTGTCCATAGAAATGTATGGCACTCCAAGGATCTCTGCGAGCGCACGGCCTGCGGTGCTCTGCGGGTCCCAGGAGATGAAGACGCCACAGATCGAAGAGTGGGCTGTGTACTCGCCTTTCCCGTACCTGGAAAAATGTCACGGACGCCGTTGGAAATTCCAGAATTCGGGCGGTGAGTCTTTGATATACTGTGAAATTGGAGAAGGCTGCCCCATACTGACCACTATTACCAACCACATGGACGCGATAGCGTCCTTTTCCGTCTCCCAAGAGAGGGGGGAATTTCGGCGCACCGTTCATCCTGGTTTTAATTACCCTCACCGTTCCTCCTCGGTGGTGGTGACAGGGAAAGGGCTGGGAGCCATGAGGCCTTGGACCATCGGACCCTGTAATCGGACTCGAGTCAAGAGGGCGGTGCCGAACCACGTGACCGCGATTAATAGACGCGTCGCCTTAGGCAAGCACCGCGTGCGACGGAAGTATGTCCTTGCTCCGACCCAATCGAAAAATGCCTCTTAAAATTGTTTTGTAGGCTTCATGTGGTCCAGCGCATTCCTGTGGCTCGCGTTAACGAGGAGGTGCCGTGAGGTTCCGAGTTATGGACGCGTCAGCGTTGGGATTTCAGCCTGGATTCTGACTGAATCCCGACGACGAGGGGATAGCGTCGGAGGTATTTCGCCTCTAGCCCCAGATCGACGGCCAAGAGACGCGTTGTCTTCGTTTGGCCCTGCGACCCAAGTGGCAAGACGGGTTCTCGTCCTGGGTGCTGTTTCCTGTTGGCTTCCGGGTTCGGGCTCCTTGGATTGAGGAGCCTTTCGACTCTGACAGATACAGAGATGTCACTTACTGATCAAGAGAGCCTCCAGCGGAGTGTATCGGTATCGGTTGGACATTTTCCGCCACTACGGACTGCGGCGCGTGGACTGCTCTCTTACCTGATCAGGACGAGCCTTGGTGTTCCTCGAGGTGCGCCCTACTGCGCCGTTGAAAGGAATCTGAACGGTCGTAGTAGGCAAAGAGCTGCGGTCAGCACTAAGGTCTATTGAAATTTATCCCGCAGCTCTCTTTGCACCTTTGTTCTGGTCTGTGGGTGGATGCCGATGAGACAACGAAATCGGCCGCCTTCCTGCTCAGTCATACGTATCAATGGTCTTGAAGCCAGGAACGTCATATCATGATCTTCCTTCTTTATACGCTGTCGTACTCGTCAACTGACTGGTTGTCAGTTGCTAGTTTGTTTCTCGGGCGCTACACCAATTTATCTGGATCGGCGAGATAAACCTGATGCACCGATCAACTTATTATGTCCTGAAACTCCGTAGAACATGAGGTGGTGGTTCGCATGGTTCGCTCGACAGTATGCGGCAACTGGACGTGTCAGGTCGTGGAAAAGCAAACCGACTTCCAGGAGTCACAAAGTCAAAATTCATTCGTACGCCAAACATCAAATGTCGATTATTCCCTTCTGTAAAATGAGTCGAATCATCCTTCTATGCCCCTATGAGCGCCAACACGATTCTCAATACCTCTTTTCCATATGCTTTGCCTTCCTACAACACCACCAACTTGCAACTCTCCCTCCCCGATATGCGCGGGAAGTACTTCTTCAGGCGTTTCTCCACATCTTCGTCGGACTGGTTATGCTTCCGGGGTATCTTGACGTCGATGCCTCGCAAGAAAGGAAGGTTGAGGTCATCCAATGCGTTGTCAAGATCCGCCCAACTCTGAGTGGCGTCTTTGCGAACAGCCAAGCTTCCGAACGAGACTTTCAGTGTCAAATGGTGGATACGGTTCTCTGACGTGAGCGAGGTGACCCAGCGAATGGCTGTCTTAATTGAATCTGGACAAAGACCGGCGATGGTCAAAGTCTTGAGGTTTGGGAGCGCTTTAGGGCTGATATCTATCTCATCACCCTCCGAAACACCTGCCAAAGAACTAGTAAGATAAATATTACAAAAAAACATGGAAAGACTGACTCCGCGCTGCGTACATCTCCAGATGCTCGAGTGTAGAGGCACATTTCTCCAGGATCGTCGTCACGGCTGCCCTGTCGCTCTGAATCCTGAAGCGCTGTTCATCGTCCCTCGCATTATATCGTTCGTGACCGTCCTCCTCGTAACGTAGGGTCTTAAGTCCAGTCAGGTCGAACGGCGAAGAATCCCAGATCAACCATGCAGCCAGCAGCACAGAAGCCCCGCGTACAAGCTCGAGCTTCTCGAGCTTAGCACATTCACCCGCGAACGGGTCCAACTTGATCGGCGGCGGAAAGCGCTCCTCGTCTTCGATGGGGTATCCGTGCGAGTCGGTAATGAGGTTGAATCGGTTGTCTCGTTTGAAGGCAGGATATCGGTGCCGGAGGAGGCAAACGCGGTGCAGCTTGAGCTTCTTGACGTTCAGGCCACATTCCCCGAGGAGAGCCGTCAGCTGCCTCACATCTTCGAACGTGCATCCGGTGAGATCGACAGTGGTCATCGACGGCAGCTTCACGAGTCGTCTCTCCGCCTGGAGATCTTCTGCTGGAATTTGGAGGTATGACATTTCTTTGAGCGTGAAGCTCGTTACGGAAGACAACTCGATCCGTTCGAAGAAAATTGTGAGCCACCTGTGACTCCAGAGGAACTCGACCTCACGTATGAACGGGATGAGCTCTGGTTTCTCTTCGAGGAGCTCTGCGAGCAGAGTGACTGCCCGGTCGTAGGCTATCATGTTAGACTGGTTGAATTTTATCGACTTGAGTAGGACACGTTGCGCGACGGGAGCCCAATCCCTGCAAACTAGGGCTGCCACCAACAAAGTTTCGTGGTCGTCCAAGTGAGACTGGAGGCATGTGTCGAGGATTTCAGGAGGAATGGGCTCAGAGATTCGACTCAGAACCGCCATAATGTCGCGAGAACTGCTTGAGAGGCTTGCAGCTGCGGAAGACTTGGAAGAGGAGGTTCAAGTTGAGACGATCCTCGTTAGCCAAATTTACACATGTTACAGTACGTGACATGATGTGGCGTACATTGGTTAAATGTCACGCTGTGGCATTGGAAGGGCCACCGCAGAAGAAAAAGCACGGCTTCTGCAACGCATTCTATTGATGAGTCAAGCAGGTGGCTACAGAGCGATCTACTTCTCCAATTTTCTTTTCTTTGGCGTCGGTCCCGTCTTGGGGTTCACCTCTTTCCGTTTTTCTACCGGAAGACTGACCTCAAATTTCCGTTTGAGGACGCCGTACAGCTCCTTGTCAAACCCTACACATTGCAGTCCCACAGGCTCTACTTTCAAAATTCCATCCATATAAAGTCGAGCAATGTCCGAAGGTTTGATAGATCTTGGATTATGTCCGACAGAAGACGCGTTCACTATCGTTGCCTCAGCGAGCGATAAACCTGACTAGATAGTTGCTTCAGTACATGAGTAGCAAAACGACCCGAAAGGCAATAAAGGAAAGCTCACAGCACCGCTGAGTAGACAGCCGTCCGGATGTTTATCCCTGAAGCTATGGACTTTATATAGACCGCCGTACAAGATGCAGTTGTTCCTTGGGAAAAAGACATGGAACGTCTGGTCATACAGGTGCCGCAGAGTGGAGACTTTTTGCCAGGTCTTCCTTAGGTCGTCGAAGACGTGGATCGGGCCCAGAATAAGGGCATGGTGTGCGTCTGAAGAGGTCCATGTCATCCGTCCGGGGGAGTACAACAAGCTTTGCGCGCAACTACAATACAAATGAAGTCAGTTTGCACTTCAGAATAACTTAATCTCAAAGCATCAACTTACGAGGCTGTTCGAGAATCCTGGAGACATGTTTTGGAGACTCGTCATGAGGACAGACGACAGACGACATACCGCTGATAAATAGGCGTTCAGATCGACACCTTCGTGGCAAATAGGGCGTAGCTGAGCCGGTGCCGGCCTCTCCGAATATCTTGGGAGAGCCGACATATACTTTTTAAATTCAGAGAGCTCGGAAAACTGTGCAAATGGGTATATGTCATCCCGAAGAAATTGGATTGACGTTTAGTTACCGATGAGAGCCTCTCTTCAGGACGCAGTTCTTCCTTGAGGGTCTAAGGCGACGCTTCTGTCAGCGACGATCTTCGAAAACAGAAAAGGACGTACTTGGCTTTTAGACTTTTCTGCCTTTTCTTGTGTCTTGTTCTGCAATCTTGCCTATTACGCATACGTACGTATCAAAATTTCAGGTGTAAATATAAGAAAAGTGAACCGTACTATTCGATCCTCTGCTTTAGCCACTTTCTTCTGCAGAATGAGGTTATCTTCTTGAATGCACCCCTTCTCGTCTTCCAACGTCTCTATAGCCTGACTAACAATGAGTCAAGGATGTGAGTTGGGAGCCTGGACCACGTACCACTTTCAGTTCCAGCTTTAGCTCCTTTTGGGCCTTGTACTTTGCATAGTATTTTTCAAGGGCTTCCTCAAGGTGTTTGATCTTTTCTTCGTTGCTGATACCACCCTGCAAGGAACAAAGGTTCGTAAGTTTGTATAAAAACCGTAAAGACCTAGGCATTCTACAAGGCTCGGTTGAATATCGGTTGAGACGGTGGCTTCTCTCGGTGGTTCATGAGCAGGTTGCTCCTCCTCGATGTTCGACAATCAGGATAACTGAAACCATAAGATAATTGGTTGACACACCTTTTTGATCCACGTCTTGCTATCCTTCAACCCATCCAACTCAAGCCGCAGCCTCGTGTTTTCCGCGTTCACCTCGTCTACGTGTTTTCGGAGGATGATCATAGAATATTCTGCCGCCTCGGTGCGTTCCTTGAAGTCAGTCACCTCTTCCGAATATCTGTGGACAGCGATGGTGGGCTATCGCGCTCATCAGCACAAGGGAACGACATCAGAATGAGGTGCTCACAGATTTTTCCAACTCGCTTTCGAGCTCCTTGATCCTGAGCCTCGCCGCCTTCAGCTCTTTGCCCATCAGACCCAGCATCTCCGATGCCAGTTCGGGGTCGTTGTTGACTGATTCCATATGTTCGTCGGGGCCTTTTTCGGCCAGCAATGAGGTATCTGGATAAGAAAGGAGGGCTCTGTGAGAATTGTATGTAATTCGACCCAATTTCGGGACGGGTAAAAAAGTTAGAAGCTAAATCCGGCAAAGCGAACCGAAGGCAAGGCGAAGTGATAATTTATTCGAAAATGAGGGAATACATGCCACGGCAAAGGTGTACTGTAAATCATAATTCAGAGATAGCGAGATACCCAATGAAGTAGGAAAATTAAGAGGGAGTTTGGTCGACCTCCATCATAGAGTCGGCACTGTCCACTGTGGGAAGGTCTCCGGCATCTTTCGCCGACGGGCTGTCACTTCCGCGAGACGGAGAGGAAGGAGAAGGAACACGATGCGGTTGGTTCTGAGGGAGTAAGGAAGATCCGTTGGAAGGAGAGGAAGTCGGGGACGCGGAAGGTGACGCGCTCTGTCGGGCGCGTCCTCTTTTGGAACGAGCGGAGGTATTAAAGTGCCCACATTTCGGACAAACATATTCTGAAAGACGACTATTAGAAACTAATTCCATCCACGAAGAAAGCCAGTACTCACGAGCGTCCTCCCACATGTTTTCCTTGACCAAACCATTATGGTTAAAACACCTTTCACAAATAAGCGCGTATCGCGAACTCGGGGACGCCACACTCGAATCATCATCTCCAAGTATGGCATCTGCCAGCTTGTCATACCATTGTTTGCGAGGCGGCGCAATGGGATAATTAGGCGTCACAGCTACAGGGACGAAAACGTGAGTAGATCTAGGAACAGAGGCCACGCTACAGCCTTACGAGACAGGTGTGCCTGGAGGGCTGCACTAGGACCCGGGGTTTGAAGGAGTGGATTGCCGTTGCTGGGCACGACAGCCGGTCTTTGAGGTGTGGATGGCGGAGGCTGGCCGGGTCCACCGGGAGCCCGTGGACGTCCAGGCGTGGCCGAAGGAGCTTCGTCGTACTTTTGAAGGAGATCACGAGTAGAGTAGTAGTTGGTCTTCTTCTTGATCTCCTCGACCTTGTCACGTCGTATTTTCATAAGCTCTTTCAAGGATTTCTCTAACCACATGAAATTAACAAGTGGATCATCGAGAGGAGAAGACACCACGCACCTTCGGCATCACCTTTCCGCTTGTACCAGATTTGGACAACACGGCGGATGAAGAGTACACTGCGCAGAGAGAAACGTCAGCATGCTGGGGGACCAGGGTTAAACATGACGGCGCACGCAATAGGCCCGATAACGACCGGGAATCCTTTAACCGCTCTTTCCACGCTGGCGTTTCTGATGTACCCTCCCGTCCGAAAGCTGGGCAAAGCGTTCAAGTACCAGATGCTGACATAGGCCACCCACGCCGCCAATGTGTAGAGCGTTACGAGGAGCGTAGACCTTCGTTCACGTAGTCTGATCTCCGAGAGGTGGACCTGGCGTTTCTGGATGTCGCTCGCCAAGTTCGACAGTATCGTCTCATAATCCTCCTCCTTCGTCTGAAAGGCAAAGCGTGTTGGTGGCATGGCTATCAATGAGGTTCAAAGCATACCTGCGAGAATATACGACGAATGAACGACATATTTGAGCGTTAGATGGTGAAGTCTGCAGGAAATGAGAAAGAACAAGGGGACATGGAGAAAGTTGAGGGCAAGTTGCTGTAGTCCGACATAAACGGTGTGCGTCACAGATCACGGGCGTGACGTGGCGTGACGCGTGAGAATCATGACGTCAGCAACATTGTTGAACAGTCCACAAGCCCAACCTTGAACCTAAAC